AAAGGGATTTTGGTATGACTGTTTCCCATGGGGGGGTACTTTTTCTTCTCTATCTCTCTAGCAAGCACACATGTCTTCTAATAAACAAAAAAAAGAAAGAGAGAGAGATAGAAATATTAAATTACGAGGTTATTGTGATGCAATAAAAGTTTGAAATGCATATATAGCATTTTCTTCATGTGCATTTTCTTCTTTTATTAAAAAATTTTTTAAAGGTTTTTGCTATAGGACGCATGTGCTCGCTAGACAGACAGAGACAGAGAGATAGAAAGCGAGAAATTATTCCCCAGGGAGGATGGCCATGCCACAATCCCTTCTCCTCCGTTCTCCTCTCGGGATCTTGGGCACACATGCACACGCACCTGGCGTGAGTTTTAAGCCACCGGGTCCGGGACGCAAACCGCGGTCAACTACATGGAAGTTCAGCGACATAGCCATTACGCTAACTGCTGGTCCCTTCATGTGCATTTTTTTTTTTTTGAGAGTTTTTTTTCGCTATAGGGTGTGTGCTCTCGCCAGACAGACAGAGACAGAGAGACAGAAAGTGAGAAATCACCCCCCAGGGGGGATGGCCACGCCGCAATCCCTTCTCCTTCATTCTCCTCTCAGGATCTTGGGCACGCACGCACACGTGCTCGGCGTGAGTTTTAAGCCACGGGGTCCAGGACGCGAACTGCGGTCGACTACGTGGGAGTCCAGTGACATAGCCATTATGCTAACTGCTGGTCCCAATTATTATCATTCATTTTTTAATTTGACCAGAGAGAGACAGAAAGAACGAGAAACAAAGGGAAATTGACAAAGCAAGCCACCAGATCCAGGACTTGAACCACTGTCACTATGAGAGTCCAGCACCTTAATCACCACACCACCTGCCTTCCCCTTGAATGTTTTTTTCTTTAACATTATTTCTTAGAAAACATGCCATTTTGGGACCAGCAGATGGTGTAATGGTTATTTCACTGGACTCCCACATAGTCAACTGCATTTCGAATTCCAGACACAGCCGCTTAAAACTCACTCTGGGCGTGTGTGCGTGTGTGCGTGCCAAAAATCCTGAAAGTAGAATAGAGGAGAAGGAATTGCAGTGCAGCCATTCTGCCTCAGGGGTGATTTCTCACCTTCTCTTTCTCTGTCTCTGACTCTCCAGTGAGTGCACGCACCTGATAGCAAAAATCTCTCTAAAAGAAGAAAAGTAATGCCATTTCTTCAATGGAAAACATTATTATTTTTTTTAAATATCAGATTGGGAAGCAAAGAACACATGATTCAATAAGGAAAAGAAGGGAAATAACAATGGCAAATTTCCTATGGCCTTTGTGGGAATAGCTTATATTCAGCATGATACAGTAGGCCTGTATGCTTGGTCTAGAATGTCCTTTTAAATTTAAAATATATTTTTCTGAGGCCAGCAGGTGGCACAATGGTTGAGGTGTTGGACTCCCACATGGCTGACCACTGTTTGAGTCCCGGACCTGGTGGCTTGCTTTCTCACTTTCTGTCTCTCTCTCTGGTGAGCTTAGATGCCCTATAACAAATTAAATAATAATAATAGTAAATAAAACTAATTTTTAAATTTTTCCCCCTTTTTATTTTAGAGAGATTTTTGCTATAGGGCATGTGTGCTCACTGGAGAGAGACAGAAAGTGAGAAATCATTCCCCAATCTGGGTGGCCATGCCACAATCCCTTCTCCTTCATTCTCCTCTTAGGATCTTGGGCATGCATGCACATGCACCTGGCATGAATTTTGTTTGTTTGTTTGTTTTATGTAAAGAGGTTTTTGCTATGAGTGCATGCGCTCGCCGAAGAGAGAGAGAGAAACAGACAGAAAGCGATAAATCATCCCCTAAAGGGGATGGCCATGCCACAGTCCTTTCTCCTCCGTTCTCTTCTCGGGATTTTGAGCACACACACCTGGCATTTTAAGCTACCAGGTTCGGGACTCGAATCATGGTCGACTATGTGGGAGACCAGCAATGTAAACCACTATGACATCTGCTGGTCCCTTTTTTAAAAATTATTCATATAGTAGAGTGTGTGTGTGCATGTGAGAGTGAGAAACTGGAATGAACACCTTCTGCAGGGTCTAGTCATGCCATGATCCTCTTCCTCCAATCTTCTGGCCCTCAGATCTTGCACACTCACAGTATGCCTGGCCTGTTTTGGGGCCACCTGTCCAGGGATTTGAGCTGTGGTTGCCGGGCAAGATCTTAACAGCACGTTTCACTTTAACAGCATGTTACCACTGAGCCATGGAGTTAGTCCCCAGATACCTCCATTTAAAGTTCTTTTTTTATTTTTTATTTAACTTTATTTTAAATTGACCGGAGAGGGACAGAATGAGAGGAAGAGAAGGAAAATGAGAAAGCAAGCTGCCAGGTCCTGGACTCAAACCACAGTCTGCCATGTGGGAGTTCAGTGCCCTTAATCACCACACCACCTGCCGAACCTCCATTTAAAGTTCTTAAAAAAAAAAAAAATGATTTATTTAATTTTATTTATTCATTCATTTATTTTAATTCGACCAGAGATACACAGAGCAAGAGAAAGAGAGCGGATGGGAGGAGGGAGGGGGGAGGGAGAGGGAGAAGGAGAGTGAGAGAGAGGGAAAGTGAGAAAGCGAGCCACTAGGTCCAGGACTTGAACCGTGGTTGGCCATGTGGGAGTGTCCAGGGGCTTAACCACCACCTGCTGGTCCCCATAAAGTTCTTTTTGAGAATTAGTTTTTAATTGTTTTTATTTATTTATTTTAATTTGACCAGAGAGGGACAGTGTGACAGAGAGAGAAAGAGAGAGGGAAAGTGAGAAAGGAAGCTGCCAGGTCTGGGACTCGAACTGTGGTCAGCCACGTGGGAGTCCAGCGCCCTCAACCACCATGCCACCTGCCAGCCCTTCCATTTAAAGTTCTTAGTGGCCGAGTGGCTAAGGCGATGGACTGGAAATCCATTTAAAGTTCTTAAGCTGTGATACTGACAGAAGTCACTCCCTGCTTTTACCTAACACAAAGCCTTTCCTCTTAGGTGGATGATGACTTCACAGCACAAGATTACAGGCTCCAGTTCCGTAAATGTACTTCAAATCATTATGAGGACGTATACGTGGGTTCTGAAACTGAATTCATAGTACTGCACATCGATCCCAATGTTGATTATCAGTTCAGAGTGTGCGCCCGAGGAGATGGCCGGCAGGAGTGGAGTCCTTGGAGCGTCCCCCAGACAGGTCATTCCACATTGGTACCTCACGGTATGCTGCTACCTTCTCGCTCCTTAACTGTATAGAAGAACACTTATTTTTTGTGCTCTTGTAGTTCACTTGACAGCCTTTTCTCTAAGGATAAATCTTGAATTGATGAGAACAACATAGAACATATCTTTTATTAAAATGGCTTCATGTGAATTTTGTTTTCATCGGTACTTATCTTCAGATTCTAGAAATAGTGCTAGACAGAATTCTTAGCATCACCTAAAACCAAAGACTGCAAATAGGATACTGAATTTCCAATTAGTATCTGGGCAGAGGCATTTCTGACTTGAAATTGGACTCTCTTGTGCGTTACTGTTTAAAAGATGCAGATACATTTGTCGAGTACTTATTTTTAAGAATTATTTTATTTATATTTATTGTTATTATTTTCCAGTTTTGATCAGAGAGAGACAGAGAAAGAGAGAGAGAGAAAGCGAGAAAGCAAGCCACCAGGTCCGGTACTTGAACCAAGGTCAGCCATTTGGAAGTCCAGCTCCTTTAACCACTATGCCACCTGCCGGCCTCGTTTTTTTTTTTTTTTTTTTTTTTTTTTTTTTAAAAAAAATTTTTTC